AGGACCAGAAATCTCTTCAAGAAAATTGGAGATATGAAGGGAATGTTTCATGCAAAGATGAGCATGATAAAGGACCAAAATGGCAGGGACCTAACAGAGGCAGAAGAGAGAGATGGCAAGATTACACAGGGGAACTATACAAGAAAGAGCTTAACATCCCTGATAACCACGATGGGGTGGTCACTGTCCTCGAGCCAGACATCCTGGCATGTGAAATGAGCCTTAGGAAGTCTGAGCAACAACAAAGCTAGTGGAGGTGACAGTATTCCAGCTGAGCTATTCAAAATCTTAAAAGACGATGCAGTAAAAGTGCTACACTCAATATGCCAGCAAATTTGGAAAACTCAGCAGTGGCCACAGGATTGGAAAAGATCAGTTTACATTCCAATCCCAAAGAAGGGCAATGCCAAAGCATGTTCAAACTACCACACCATTGCACTCATTTCACATGCTAGCAAAGTGATGCTCAAAATCCTACAAGCTAGGCTCCAGCAGTATGTGGACCGAGAACTACCAGAAGTACAGACAGGATTTCGAAGAGGGAGAGGAACTAGATACACTGGATCATGGAGAAAGCTGGCTCATGGAGAAAGCTAGGGAGTTCCAGAAAAACATCTACTTCTGCTTCATTGACTATGCTGAAGCCTTTGATTTTGTGGATCACAACAAACTGTGGCAAGTTCTTAAAGAGATGGGAGTACCAGACCATCTTATTTGTCTCTTGAGAAACCTATATGTGGGTCAAGAAGCAACAGTGAGAACTGGACACGGAACCACTGATTGGTTCAAAATTGAGAAAGGAGTTCGGCAAGGCTGTATCCTGTCGCCCTGCCTATTTAACTTATATGCAGAGCACATCATGAGAAAGGCGGGCCTAGATGAATCACCAGTTGGAATTAAGATTGCTGGGAGAAATAACAACCTGAGATATGCATATGATGCCACTCTAATGGCAGAAAGTGAAGAGGAACTAAAGAGCCTCTTGATGCGGGTGAAGGAGGAGAGCACTAAACTTGGCTTGAAATTCAGCATTAAGAAAACTAAGATCATGGCATCCAGTCCTCTCACTTCCTGGCAAATAGATGGGGAAGAAATGGAGGTAGTGACAGATTTTATTTTCCTGGGCTCAAAGATCACCGCAGATGGGGACTGCAGCCAAGAAATTAAAAGACGCTTGCTCCTTGGGAGGAAAGCTATGGCAAATCTAGACAGCATACTAAAAAGCAGAGACATCACTCTGCCAACAAAAGTGCGTATAGTCAAGGCTATGGTTTTCACAGTTGCAATGTATGGCTGTGAAAGCTGGACCATAAGGAAGGCTGAGCACTGAACAACTGAGGCCTGTGAATTGTGGTGCTGGAGAAGACTCCTGCGAGTCCCTTGGACTGCAAGGAGATCAAACCAGTCAGTCCTAGGGGAGATCAACCCTGACTGCTCTTTAGAAGGCCAGATCCTGAAGATGAATCTCAAATACTTTGGCCACCTAATGAGAAGGAAGGACTCCCTGGAGAAAAGTCTAATACTGGGAACAATAGATGGCAAAAGAGGAAGGGGATGGCGGCAGGCTTCGGCGGCAGAGAAGTCTCCTAAATAAATAAATAAATAAATAAAATAAAGACTAGATGGAGTTTGTGTGCTTGAGTGGACTCTGGGGGATAGTGGAGGACGGGAAGGCCTGGAGGAATGTTGTCCATGGGGTCACGATGGGTCGGAGACGGCTTCGCTTCTAACAACAACAACAACACACTATTCTGAGAGCTTTTGCTAATTCAACAGTTTATTTTAAAAATCCTTAAACAAACATAAATAAGTTTTACAAAACTCACTTAATTCGTTGAATAACCCAGTGCCACAAATGTGGCAAAATTCTATAATAATACTTAATAAAATATTGGGAAGGAATATAGTTGGATCCTATCAGCCAGTTATCTGTTTGAATCAAGATTATTCATACCTACTGGAATTTTAACTGAAAGAGTGAATGAAGTAGCTCTAAATTATATTGAACAAGATCAGTTCACCTTTATTAAAAATAGATCAGACCTGATTTGGAGACTATTTAATGCAATAACTCACTGTTCAGAAAATAAAAATGCCACATGTAATCGCCTTTCTGGATGCAGACAGAACATTCTGAATTGGAGCTATATCATAGGTTTAAGCCATTTTTGTCATTAGGAGATACTTTTATTGAGTGCAAGATATATTACCACAATATGGTATAAACTCTGAAACAATATTAATCAACTAGGGAATAAAACAGCGATAACCAGTGTTCCCACTGATGTTCACACCCTCAGTTGAAACTCTAATATTATTAGATATTATTCTCAAATATTATTAGAGAATATCTATAAAAGGAATAATCGATGACCAAAATATAGTGGGCATTATAGTTCTGATGCTCTTTGATCCAGCTAATGAGCTGATAAAGCACTGAGGTTGATGAGTAAATATTGCTATGTTTGAAGACTAAACATTAATATAAGTAATTCTGTATCCTCAATTTGAATATGTATGCAACCAAGATAAATGCCTTGGAAACATTTATTCTTACATGATTTGGTAAGATTAAATTACTGGGAGTCTGAATACCAAGCAGCTTGCACAAAATAATTAAACTGAATTGCATTCCATGATAAAATCAACCACATTAAAACCTGCAAGCAGGTAAGGATATCTTGGTTTGCTAAAACTGCTACAATAAAAATAACATTTCCCCCAAACTGACTTACCTGTTCTAAACATTTTTGATCTCCAATTTCAGGCAGCCTTTTAAAAAAACTGGCTAAAATTGGCCATTAATTTTATTTGTTAGTACAAACTATCCGTTAAATAATTATGCCTTATTCTGAGAGCTATCTAAAGGGAATTGGGCATTTCCCATTTAAGCTCATACTTGGAAGATTTCCAGTCAAACACCTGCATAATATCTGTAGTCTTGACAACTAAATTTGAATTTGAATAGTAGTACTTCTAAATAAAGTAGTCAGAATAAGGAGTACTCCAATGCTGAAAAAAATGTCATGCAACATCCCCTTTAGTTAATGATCTTTCAGCTGCATGTCAGGCATGGAAAAACTGGAGGCTGAATGTAGTATCTTACCTTTCACAACTGATGTCTTTCTTGAGTCATCTCTTGTTTGTTTTTGGCTAGTTTGGTTTTTTTTTTTTTTTTAACAGTGATGCATTAATGCACTTTTAGGGAATGAAAGGCTTACATTCAGTGAAACATCTGTTCACTGACCTAGATAGAACCTCAGATAAAGAACAATTATGAGATCGTAACACAAACTGGTTCCAATTGGTAAAATTGGTTCCTGAAGTAAAAACATGGTATGTCCTCTAAACAGATATGAATACCTACTGACATAAATGAATTCCTGCTAGATATGTCTTACTTCACGTATTCTCTAGAAAGGTGAGGTAGGTATGGGAAAAGATCTAACTATTGAAGGTGGAGCCATCCCCAATTCTAGAAAGGGAGCAATCAAAGAGGGACTTTTAGACACATCTGTTGGAATTGTGAAGTCATAGAGAGGTTCTGGGTAGCTGAACTTCATTTGGCAAGAAAAGTTCAGTTCAAGATACACATAAAACACCGTAACTGAGACTACTTTCCCTTTTGTGAGAGACCAGCATCTATTGCGTATGGACTCATTGACATTTTTCTTGACTGCAGTATGAATGGAAATGGCATCAGTCTGGAAGTCTACAGGTGGACTGTCAGGTGAAGTCTGGGAAAGATCACATTGAGATATAGTATAACTTGAAAAAATAATCAAGAGCTAAGATCATTGTGCAGTATTGCAGTCGACAATTACTTTTATGCGTGTAGGCAACCATGGATCTCTTTTGCCAACCAGAATAAAGGGAACCTGAGAACTACATGATCACTGTCAGTATAGAGAACTATAGTCATTCTTTTTTCGAGTACTGAACTACAGAAAGACAGAAATTTTTGGTCTCTGGAAATATGCAGGTTATGGATGTGTTGCTTTACTTGTTTAAAATCCCTTGGCAATTTTATTTCAACTTTTTTTCTTATATTCTTCTTTCTGTATCTTATTTATTTTAAGAAAACAATATTTAAAAAAAGAACTACATGATCCCATGTAACCACTTGGAAAGATCTAATTAATACTTCCTAGCTAATCTTGATCACTTGATCCATGGGAAGGAGTTTTGCCCTAGAGTTTTGTATATTTGTATTGTAGTACACTGGTTATTGCCACGATATTGTTTCAAGTGTGGCAATGGCTATGTTTTTATGTCCAATTGCTTGTTAGTGGAATCATTAAAAATGAAGGAACATAGTATTAGCCTCACATCTATATTTTTACTTTATCACCCATGGACAGAGCACAGTATGCAGTATTTTGATGAACCTATTTTCAGTGAGTGTGTTTCATAGCTATTTACAGATGAAATTCAGTCCTCATTGTTTTTAAAACATTAATTTGAACTAATTATCCGTGTCATTAACACTATTTACATAGTCCTGCTTTACTGAAATTTAACAAGAATCATGATCCAGCTGAAGTTGAGAATTTCCAAGTGTCCATTATCTGTGTATTTTTGGTGGAACATTCAGAATGTATAATTGGTTGGAATACTGGGATGTGGATGCAACCCTATGCATGTTTACACAGAAAAAAACCTTATAATTCCAAGCATCCCTCAAGCCACCCTGGCTGGGGCATGCTGGGAATTGTAGGATTCTTAAGCATGCATAACATTTCATCCTTAGTTGAGTCAACTTTGATTGGTCATTTTTTCATTATTTTAATTAAATTCTATGTTTCCAGGATGTGTGCTGTTATGTTATTTTGAATACATTTATTGTACAGGAAAAGCTGTTTGGCTGTAATTTCAGCAAGAATTACTAGAATGATATATCCATTTTGTCATTTGAACCTCTTTGATCATGTCAGTTCCTCACTGCTGTTTTATTCTGTAAAGACTGGGCTTCTACTGATGATGATTTTTCATTATTTCAGTTACTGTAATGGGTGCATGCTGGATCCAATTTGTGGCTTCTGTTACCAACTAAACAAGTCGAGTGTTGTGGACTCCTCCTGTGTTCCTGTGAATAAGAAGTCTACAATGGAAGCAGCCTGGGGCAGGTATGCTGCTTTTGTGCTCCTTAATTGTATTAAAATACATTAATATACTTTTACAGGCTGTGCTGTTGTTGCATTAGTCTACAGAATGCTATTTTATCATTAGAATAATAATGTGTACCAGGGGCTCTCCCTTATCAGTCTGTATGGCCCCACCTCCGATACAGGCATATTTTACTTTGAATTTCCCTCACCTCCAGAGAAATAAGTACACTTAGAATCAAATCATTTGTAGATACTATTCATCAAAGGGCACATCAATTCTTATTTTATGGGCAAAAAGAGTAAATGCTTAACAATCATTTCCCCATGGCCTAGTAACAACATTGGAAAATTTGCTTGTGATAAAGTTGGGGAAGTGATAGAAAGAACTAATAGTTGGAAAATGCGGGGATATTTTTCTAGCAGCAACACACGCATGCAGTGAGGCAATGCCTGAGATAACCCGTAAACATGTGCCATTTGTGGGAGGGGTTGAGGTGGGCATGTGTTATACAACATAACCTAAGCTCACATCTCAAATGTTTGAAAAAATTCTGAGCATTTCCTTTACTCAAACCTTTTAAAGCTGAAAAATAAACTTTAAAGATTAGGTATTATGGATCAGCTCTTAAGTCTGAACAAGTCCAGAATATCAGTAGGAGTGCTTGGGCTATCATCACTTTGGTTTTTGTTTCTTACTTTATCTCATGCTTGTAGTAATAAATAGTACAGCACAGAAGTTGGAAGACAATTAAGGCAGCCATATAGCGGGGGCATGATATTGTTGTTGAAAGCAGCAGCCTATGTCAAAATCCCTAGTTTCCCCTCCTGCTGATATTTTGTTCAACTTGATTTGTGTCCTGACCTCATTACAATCTGCTTTCTCCCACTCTTGCTAGCCAATGATTCATACTGAGAATGGGGGAATATACTTTGTAATAACTAATTCAGGACCTGAGAGAACTTGACCTCAACGTTATAGAAGGGGAGTGGAAAACTTGCCATAAGGCTACCATTTTCATCAAAAACGACATGTCCTTTCTCTTGTCTAGTTCTTTCTTTAGTGCCACATGCTTTAATCTATTCAACAGTCCGTTCATTGTATTGTATTTTACATCCAGGTATTTATTTCTGTATCTTTATTATTGAAATTATCTCTGGTCAGCATGATGTCAAACACATTAATTGAGAAAATCAGATATGGACTAGTATTCTTTTGTAAGTTTGTATTAAACCATCAGGCAGTGCATTCCCTGAACTGAGGCCCCCCAGTTTGGAGTGGACCGATCTAGAACTTTTTTAATAATAGTGGATGTTAGGCAATATAGCTATACCTGTGTTGTGTGTAAATATGTATATTTATATGTATGGCTATAGATCTTGTACTAAACTATTTGTTCTATCTCTAGTGTGTAAGATGTTAGTAAGAAATATTTTTTCACAAAATTAATCAGCTTGATTTCACAAAAGTTGTTTAAAGCACTATCCAATGCATGTCCCATTGAGTTCAGCATGGATCTCTCATAGTGAAATGTGTAGAGAATTTCAGCCTTAGTCATTTTTCATTCACTTACGTTTTTTTTTTTAGAAAAGCCAGACAACATTGTTGCCAAACTATTACAGTCTAATTGATGCTTTTAAAAAAATCAGACCAGTTTTAAAGGGTTTGTACCCTACATAAAATGCAATTACAACTCCACCTTATAACACATTGCAGTCACCCCCCTGCCCCAGAGCATTGTGCTTTTATTTATAGAAGATTCTTGCTCTAGACAGAATAACTTTCTCTTTGTTATTCCAGAGTCAACAGTATTTCTGAGCAAGGTGAATTTGATTTAAATCACAATTTAAATCATGATTTTCTCCATAATTTGCATGCATGCATGCTGTACCTGTAGGTAAAGGATCTTCATTAAATTATTCCCAAACTGGGTCTCTTTTATGGCCCACTGCCATTACAGAATTTCTCCTCCAGGTAAAGGATTAAATGATAAACCTCAGGCTGTACTAAAAAAAGATCCAAATACTTGTAGAGTAGTCTGTTCACTTTCTTTATGCTTTCCCCTCCTTCCTCACATTTAGCTTCTTGTGTAGAATTATTCCACTCCCAACAATCTTCTTTTATTCATTGAATTTTTGAAACTTAAGAGTTAAGGGGTTGATTCTGTGTACATAGATTTGCAAAGAAACAATGGGATTAAGGTCTTTTTCTCAACTATGTATGTTTATAACATTTTTTGCTGTGAAGAAGAGGCACATGATCTCTGCAGACCCAAATTCACAGTTTTGAGAACTGTAAAACCAAGCATCTGTGATAATATCTTCTAGAGAGAAAAATTGCCCAGTAATCTTACACATATCTCTGGAAGAACATGACATTGTGAATGGATTAATAGAATTCATTTACCAAAAAATTAAAACATTACATGAATTTATAGCCTCAAGCTACATAGTTTAAAAACTATATATATATATATATATATATATATATATATATATATATATGTAAAATACCAATAAAATAATAACAAACAAACAATATAAGCCATAGCATATAGCAATAAAAAACAAACCATTTTACATACAATACTAAAATTAAAATGTTAACTATTAAATTTCCTGGAAAATAAAAAGATTTTTACCTGGCACTGGAAGGAAAAAAGGGTAGGCACTAGGTGTACCTCTTTGGGGAGGTGATTTCAGAAATGGGGTGCCACAATCAAGATCTTTCTTCCAGCTGCCACCCTCCTTAGCTCCAGTGAAAGGGGCTGCTTAAGAAGAACACCAAAAGATGATCTTAAGATATACACAGGAAGGAGCAGATAAAGAACAGATGTTCCAGTATTTCCAGGTTGTAGTTCTCAGTTACAGCAGAGGGAACAAGGAGGTGTACAGTAGTTCCCCAAAATTCGTGGCAGTTACATTCCTAAAGCACCCGCGAGTTGTGAAAAACTGCAAATTTGGTGCCTGCAATGGGCACTGGTCACCAAGGTGGTGTGGATGGGAAGTGCAGGCTGGGCCAGACTGGGGGGGTGCGTGTGCAGAGATTGTTTTCTCCAAGCGAGTTCAAACTCAGAGGAAATGGTCTCCTTGTGAGTAAGCTGTCACATGGTGAGGTGCCGTCTTATTCACAAGATCAGCCTGGACTTGCTCAGAGAAAAATCCTGCAAAAGATTGAAGCCAGGAACGCTGAACTGCGACTTCACGGGGGTATACTGTAATTCATTTACGGCTGTTGACTGCATTGTAGGGAAACTCACCATAGGAGCAGAGAAGTAGTGCCACAAAGAATGGCTAAAAATAATTATGTATCCATCGGAAATTATAAAATGACCTAAAAATTATAAAAGTAATTAAAAAGCCTTAAAAAATTAGTCAAATGTTCAGCACAAAAATACTGGACACAAATGTTCAGCACAAAAATATTGAACAGTTTAGCTGCTTTTATTGTCTGACAAAAGAGTGACAATCCTGACACTTTGAGTAAAGCATAGCCAAGTTCATTGATCCAAGGTGAAGCAGAATTTCATTTACCGTCTTGGATGGTGTGAACCAGAATGTATTTCTGAGCATGGCAAAATGTTTGGATAATTTGGATCATTCCCCTCTTCTCCAAACCTTGTTTTTTTCTTTGATGAGCTGAACAGAAGTAGCTATAAACCTAAGGGATCTCTAGGTTTCAAGATTCCTGCTGTTCAAATGACATTCTCTATGAATGTATGTAGCTGCTTCAGACTTCATTAAATTGTTTCAATAGTTATCAGCTCCTCTCTACTTTTGCCTTCTAAATACCATGCTGTGCTGTGCTGTAGTGCAGTGTTATTTCTAGTTGGTGTCATTTTCTTAAAGTGTAATTATAAGTAACTATGAAAATATGAAAGCTGCACACCTGCAATGGAAATAATTCATTAGTGGAAGCTTTTAAAAAGAACCTTTTACAGGTTCCTTGTGAAGGTTTCCAGCAACAGAGTAATTATTTCAGGGAGGTAAAGTAAGATTTACCTGGTGCAAGATTCCCCTGACCACCGCAGCTGCCAGTATGAGGGAACCAAGAATCAGTGCAGCTTAGTAGTTAGACCGTTGGGCTAGACCTGGATTCTAGTCTCGTCTCAGCCATGAAGTTTAATGGGTGGCCAGTTACTGGCTCTCAGTGTAACTTACATCACAGGATTGTTGTGAGGGAAATCATGTAAGCCTTCTTGAGTTCTTCTCAAAAAAGGAAAAGCTGTGGAATTAATAAACATTGGCAGTCCTTGTCATGTGATATACCCAGTAGACCCGTCTATCTTCTCTCCATTGCAAAAGTAATAGCAGCACAGGGCAGGATGAGAAGAATAGTAGTGTCAGCACTGATAAATTCATTTAGGATTTTCTAGAATCTTTGTGCCTTATGCTAAATCACCAGTGGCGCAGGTGATGGACATACTTTCCGTAAGGGCTGGCATTTGGTCTTGTCTGGCTCTCTGAAGAGCTGGGCTGGCTGCATTCTCTGTTGATGCAGAGAACTTATCTTTCAGTCCTTAGAGCAAAACCTTAGAAGGTGGCAGTTCTACTGGAGAGCCTGCTGACCACTCTTCCATTTGCTACGGTGGGACTTGCCAGAGCATCTGCTGTAATGGGACCCCACTGGCAAGGAGACACTGTGCCTTCTGATCTGCAGAAAGAGGGCACAGATTCACCTTGCATCATAGAAGGGCCAGTTCTGAAAGCATCACACTGCAGTTTCTATCTGAATGGAGAATGATTAGGCCCAATACTAATTGCAAAACAGTTTCCCATCTTGTAGTCTATCCCACTTATAATTTACTTCATGTAAAGAATAATAATCTTCAGCTTCTTGTTAAAATTGAAAAGAGTCAAGACTATGCAGCAGGAAAAAACTGCATATCAGAACATGTAAGTAGTGCATATTGAATCCCTTGAACCAAATTAATGCCAATGGCCTAGAAAATCTGTTTCCATAAACACACATTACCTCAAGAATACTTGGTTGCAGTCACTTATCATTTGCACTAGACAAG